AAACGACACCCGTTTTTAGTGCTGGCGCCATTTAGCGCCGTTTGGCGCCTGTTTGGCGCTACGGCTGTTTCCACCAAATCCGCTGAAAACGTGTGTATAGGGGTTATTTGGCGTCCTGATCACGAATATATAATTTCAGTCTTAGACGCCGGCGCCATGTGGTGTCACACAAACAACACTTCACAGTCAGAGCGTACTCTTAGGCACCTTTCTCAGAGCGCCGACTGTCAGACCGTGGAAAAGGTCATCGAATCGGAGACTTTCCCACGACAGGAAGGAGTCAGACCGTGGGAAAGGTCGCCGAATCAGACTTTCCTACGATAGGAAGGAGCCAGACCGTGGGAAAGGTCATTGAATCGGAGACTTTCCCACGAAAAAAGAGATGGTGTAGTTCAAGATCGTGGTAATAACTGTGTAAGTGAGCCAGAAGCATCGCGTTGTTTGTGTACATTTTGTTGATGGTGCCTGTAATGCGGTATGGGCAGCGCAATCGACTGTAAGTTTCAGCGCAGCTGAGGCTAATGGAGTGGTAGAAAACCGTCTCGTATGTATACCTTCATGATGAGGCCGCAGGCCAGAAGTTGAAATGTGCTTCCTACATCCGAATGGATTCCACTGCCTCTTTTCAATGCCTCAGGCAGCCACTTGCGTGATGTGGCTTCCGCGCAAATTCGTAGCGCGTTAGATTTTTTCATGACGGTCCTTGATAAAGCTCAAACTGTTTCGTCAATTTCCATCTCGCGCACCCGAACCTTCCGATGATCGGCGGGTTCCTCCTGAAGTGCCCCACACATTCGCCGCGGAAGAACCGCTCCCACTGAATTGAACTGGTGTGGCACATTGAGCTCGTATTCCTTGTCCTTCACCTTGCCCATGTCGCGCAGCCAGAAATAGGGCAGTGCGAACACCGTTGACTCAGGAAAGTTACAGTTCTCGAAAAAGGAATCCTTTCGGGCATGAACGTAGACCCTGGGGTCAGGGGCGTTCGATGGTCAGGCGCCAGGCTCGCGCGGGGCGGTGGGTGGGGGACCCCAAATAACCCCAAATGACGAAGTTTCAGCAGATTTGGTGAAAACAGCCGTAGCGCCAAATTGGCGCCAAACGGCGCCAAATGGCGCCAGCTAAAAACGGGTGTCGTTTTCGTAATCAGGACCCCAAATAACCCCAAATGACGAAGTTTCAGCAGATTTGGTGAAAACAGCCGTGGCGCCAAATTGGCGCCAAACGGCGCCAAATGGCGCCAAATGACACCAGCATCAAAAATGAATGTCATATTCGTAATCAGGGCATCGAATTACCCCAATAGACAAAGTTTCGACGAAAAATGAAACTTTGAGATTTTGGGGTAGTAATCGTGGGCCCAATCCGGCAATAGGGGAAGGCTGAAAACGGTGAAAAACCAAAGTTTCAACTGGGGAAGTAATGCATATCATTCGATAGCATTTTTCACGGGAAGCTAACGGGGCACATTTCAGGTCTGCGAGTTCATCTGGAAATGCAAAAAATCTGAACATTCCACAAGGGCATGACGAGGAGGCATGTTTGGGGCCACACCACGGAAGGAACGCTTACTTGCGACCGAGTTTTCCACATAATTCCTACAGACAAGTGACCATAGTCTACGACAGTGAAGGAAATTCTTCGCTTCCTTTACAGCTTTCTACAAAACATTCCTCTAAAAATGGGACTTGTCACGTAATAGGGGGCAAAGGCATGACAAGGGGTGATGTTTGGGGTCACACCACGGAAGAAACGCTCACCTGCGACCAAGGTTTCCATATAACTCCTTACAGACAAGTGACCGTAGTCTACGACAGTGAAGGAAATTGTTCGCTATCTTCACAGCTTTCTGCAAAACATGTCCTCTGAAAATGGAAAATGTCACATAATAGGCCCACTATGCCTGCTGAGAACTGTTCAAAGATTCCACTTGATATACAGAGGATGGGATATTGAGAGCAGAGGGAACACGTAAAGCCAGTAAGCGCTTAAAAACGAAATGAAGATCTAAGAATTCGGAAAATAACATTCATCTAATCTCACAATGTAGTGGATGAGATTGAGTACGTGGCGCATTCTGGGTAAGTTTTGAGGCCCTTCTTTGTGTGTAGCGGTTAGCCCGCATAAGCGGGATTATATACACATCACATGCGAGCAACTACTTTTTGAGATGAAATCGAGTGCATGGCGCATTCCGAAATCAAGCTTTCTGAAAATATTTTAGCACCATCTTGTAGCGCTTGAAGAGCTGAGTTCAACGGTGTTTTCCGTTTCTGGAATACTTCACTCTGACCCGACTTATAAACGAATTCACGAAATTAACGAGGATTCGCGTTATTCGCGTGAATTTTCGATTTCAAACGGCGAGTACTGTAGTCGATTAGTGACTAACCCAACTTTTTGAAGGTAATTCAAATCTCGAGATTTTTCGTAGATAAATCGGCGTCCAGAGAATTATTGATTACTTAACATGTATTTCGAGTGGCATGCATGTTTGAGAAGTTGTTTTCGAACTTATCGATCTTCCCAAATCATCCAAAGGGCAAGTGGGGATGGACAATGATGAAGGAATCATGCTTTCATACGGCTCTAAACAGTCAAGTCACAAAAGCATAAGGGAAAACACGCGGCGGACTCCGAACCACTGACCCCGAAATCCCAAGCCCCCACCTTAACCACTAGGCCACCAGCACCCGATCAGAGAGGCTCACTGCTTCGTTCACAAGCCGCTGCTGCTGAGGCCGATTCCTCACTGTGTTAAACTGTGTGAGGGAACAAAAAACCTCCGTAACTCCGTTCAGCGAATCGTTTGGCAGATTTGGGAAGAAGATTCGAGATCAGCGTCCGAAACCACATACCATGATACTTGTCTCATTTCATATGGCCACTTCGACCCTTCATCCTTCCCTAGTGAGCCGGTGCATTCATTGAATTCGGCGACTTAAAAAAACTGACACGAAATTTCCGATTTTTTTTCAATGGTTACTGATTGTGACGCATTTGTCTAGCAAGTGGGTGGGGCTACTGAGAATGCGCTCAAATACGTTATTCATACTGTTCCCCAAGAATTGAGAGCCTGCTTTTTTGTGCTGCCGTGGTTGAGTTTGCGGTAGTCCTTTCTGCCGCACATTTTTTTGTAGTATTCTTCAGCAATACTTTGAGTGATGTCTGAAATGACTTCTTCATATTGAGAGTCACTTCAATTAGCACTGAAACTCACCATAAAGTAGCTCTGAGCATTGTTAAAAGAAGTGGTATTACCCAATAACTCATTATTTCTGAGACACCACACTCGATGGATCGCAGCCATCGTTCTCCACGCTCACCAATAGTCCTCGAGTGCGCTCTATCGCACACGAAGCAGTAGCATGGTTGCCGAGCAAGCGAGCCTTCGCGCTTTCATGACGAAAGGTGCGCCCTTTGCTGAGCAGACTTAAATCGCCCGCCCCAAAAGCGCTCCACCCACTAGTTTAGTTGGTGATTTGGACGAGCTGTGTTGCCAGCAGCGGCACAACTGGAGCAACTCGACTGGAGCATGGTTTGGCATGGTGCCACCAAACGCGTTGCGTGAACTCGTTCCATACGTCCGCTTTCTGAGCTGTTACCTGTTCATGAGTGAAAACCAACGGCCAAAAAGGGGGTCCCGTTTTGCGTTTTCTTGACGGATTTCTCTGTTTTTTCCGCCACTGTTATACACTGAACACCTCCACATCCCCTCTAAACAGGGTCAACCGTTACGTTGGACCGATATTGGAGCGACGTTGGACCGATGTTCACCGCTCTCCGCGCCGGCATTCACTCTCGCCACCCGCGAGCCGTCTGTGTCTCCGTGCGTACGTTCACTCTCGGCATTACTCTCGTCGTCGCGTTGGACTTTGTCCAACGGACGGTTGACCCTGCCTCTAACTCCTCGAGAACCTATCATAACTGCTGCCCTCAACGCCGAGACCATTCACTACAGCAATTATTTTTTCCATGAAAAACAGCATCGAACCAGGGATCCGAATACACGCCTGGAAAACCTCATAAGCGCCTACCTCTTTCGTCCTCCTCTCCCACTCAAAAAAACGAAAGCACCCAGAGATTCTGATATGAGAGTTTTGAAAAATAATTTTTTACAGGTAACGTAATTGATCGGCGTAAGTCAAACGACGATGGTTCCAAGATTAGCGCACAATCCGGGAAGCTTAGATGGAATTCAATATTATGCTTGTTGTTTTCTAAAAAAGTATGCACGTACCATTCGCATTATACAAGGTTGTGGTGCGCTAAATGTCTTCGGTGGAATGCTCTTTCAAGCGTAACTTTTTTTTTCCTACTGCATGAAATCCACCGAAACTGCAGTATGTTGATCAATGACATATTGTGAATAATTGCGGCTATTTGGCCGCAATGCGCTTTAGTTCACGGTACATTAGTGAGATCAAACTCAAGATCAGTGCGGAACACGGATAGCATAGGCTTAGGAAAAACCATTTTATTCGAGATAACAAAATGCAATATACTACAAGCATCAATATTTTGTAGGAAAACCTCGACTACTGATGACAGCGGCGCAGCGCGAAGGCATCGAACCGATAATTTTTTGGATGGTAGACATTGGCATGGCGTACCACTCTTTCACTAGTTCAGCGAACTTTTCTTCTTTGTTTTTGCTATATTTGCCGGAACGTCTTTTGAGCTCTTCCCACATGTGCTCTATGGGATTTAGATCGGGGGATTGGCTTGGCCATTCAAGAAGTCTGACTTGCTGCTCACAGAAGGCCGCCTTCACTACTGCTGAAGTGTGTTTCGGATCGTTATCTTGCTGAAGGATCCATCCTGCGGGCATATGCTGACGTGCCCATGGCAGTACGATGTCGACCATCATGTTCCTATAGTACTGCCCTGTCATAGTGGTATCAATTTTCAGAAAAGGACCCATTCCGTTCAATGAAAAGGCGCCGTACACCATGACAGATCCTCCGCCATGCTTGGTTGTGGGTACAGTGTACTTACCATGCACCATCACTTCCGAACAAATTGAACTTACTCTCGTCCGTGAAAAGAACTCTGCTCCAGTCGGCCACAGTCCAGTCGAGGTGACGGCGCGCGAACTCCACTCTAGCTCTCCTATTTTTCGAACTTATGAAGGGTTTCTTGGCTGGACGCCTTCCGTGGATCCCAGCATCCTTCAGGCGTCTTCCCACGGTCTGCCTACTAAGATTGGTGCCTTCGTTCATATTAAATTCAGTCGCAATGTCAACCGCAGTGAGGCGAGGGTCAGCTTTCGAGCGACGTACAATTCTTCTATCTTGCTTAGATGAAGTGCATCGGGGCCTTCCTGTCCTCGTAGCATTGCAAACAGAGTTTCTAACCTGATATCGTTGAATAATTGAAGAGATCGTCTGTTGAGGAATCTTCAGAACCCGTGAAATAGCCGTGACTTTCATGCCTGATTCTTTCATGTTAACAATTGCTTGACGAACACCTTGAGCGACTTCTCTTCTTCTAGGCATACCTTAAGTGTACAAGCACTAATACTGAGCCTATACGAGCTTGAAGAAATGCAATTATCGCTAACCTTGTAATCAGGAAGAAACACTCCCTCAATAAAAACCTTGTGCGTAGTCACGTGATCGCGCTGTTTTGCCGCCAAGTAGCATGAACTAGCTTTAATTCTGCTTGGGATCATCGCGTCAAAATTTTACGTAAATTGCTTATCTAGAAAGAAAGTTACAATTGAAATAATGTTCCACCGAAGACTTTTGAGCGCCACTGTATGCTTTCAGAACGAGAGGACTTCAACAAGCCATTCTAGCTGTTCCATTCCATCCCACAGCTCCTTTAACATTTCATCAGGGTTCACGGTTCAATTTACAGAACATAGGAAAGCAACGGTTCCACCACACGGTGAACACCCGTCTTTTATGATAAAGAAGTAGATGGCGTGCGCAGGACATACGAATAATGCTACTGACTTTGAGCTTTTTGTGAATGAATATAAGGAGATTCACTGTTTGCAAACTCTTATGTTGGAATAAGATTCCGAGACACCATTAGTGTCCAATACAGTGTTCACCGTTTAAAAATGGCTGTAGACGACTTCTGCTGTGATTGAAACGAACTTTTTAAAGACATAC